AGGCAGTGGGAAATAAAAAAAGGCTTAACCCCCTTTTCTTATATGAATTGCAGAAAATAAGAATTATCTCTTTATAGCAGATTTCAGGGTTGAAGATATCATCAGGGGAAAGCCAGATTTTAACTACATTATTATAACCAAAAGAATACTTTTAGGAAAGTTCGAGGGTTCAGAGAGTTTTTACAATTGAACAGAGATGCAATAGAATGCAGTGGAAGGAGCTAGTGAAATGTTCAGCAGGGATTGAGCACCGCAGAAGAGGCGGGGAAAAAGGTGGAGCCTTGTGAATCACAAGTGTACTTATGTTACAATATCTCAGTATGAGCCCCAGGCTAGAAATTTGATAGTTAAATAAATAAATAAAAATATCTTCTGACAAATAGCAAATTAGTAATTAATAATTGCTTGCTCAAATAATTATTTGGCACAAGAATGAAAGAAGAGCATATGCTGCTTGTTTGAGCTGTCAGTACTTAGATGAGCTGTTGACAAAAATGGAAGAATTTTAAATTAGAACCACAATCTTGCAGAATGTATTCAGGGAATACTGGAAACACGAGCACTTTAAATATCCACATGGAAAGGTCATAATGCAAATGACTTTTTACAATATGTGAAAAAATTATATAATGATATATGGGTTATGCTGTTATACTCTCTTAGGTTGGGGAGAAGGAAATACAATGATCTCTCTTTCTCCCAAAATACTCTTTACATTCCCAAAACATTCTGGTACCCATCCCTCACTTGGAGTTTTCATTTGGGGATAAATGGAAGGTGGGAAAAATGTTCTGAAAAACAGACATTTAAATTGAGGAAAAAGAATACCCTCCCACCCTGCCGGGCATGCCTCAGCGGTTGAGCATTGACCGGGGATCCAGGAGATTGTGGTTCGATCCCCGGTCAGGGCACATGCCTGGATTATGGGCTCGATCCCCAGTGGGAGGCGTGCAAAGAGGCAGCCGATCAATGACTCTCTCATCATTGATGTTTCTCTCTCTCCCTCTCCTCCCTCTCTCTGAAATCTAAAGATATATTTAAAAACAACAACAACAACAAAAGAATATCCTCCCTTCTCATCTCTCACCTCCCCACCCCGCCACCTCCAGCCTCTCTCCTACCATCACTGAGAACTGGATTTGGACAACCTAAACCCAAAGAGATCAAAGATCTCCATGAGCCTGCTCTGAGTAACACAATGAGAATAGAATCAGAAACTAGATTTAAACTCAACTTTGAAGACAGAAACATCTGAAATTTTTGAGATGAACTGGACAATTTAAAATGACCCAAAATAATGTAACAGAATTATCTCCTGCAGGGAAAAATCTTTATAAATCTGGACCAGAAGTTTGCATCTGTTATTTAATGTTACCTTCTGTTACTTACTAGTTACCTGTCCTTGGGCAGATTAATTCACGCTATAAAATTTCTTTAATCATAGGATTCTGGAGACTTAAATATACTATGTATATAGGTTTTTTCTTTCTAGTTTTTTTGTTTTTTTAAATCTTCATCTGAAGATATATTTTTATTGATTTTAGAGAGGGAGGGAGGGAGAGAGAGAGAGAGGGAGAGAGACATCAGTGTGAAAGAGAAACATCTATCTGTTGCCTCCCCTACATGCTCAGACCAGGGTTGGGAACTGAACCTGCAACCCTTTTGGTGCACAGGACAACACTCAGCCAACCAATCCACCCAGCCAGGGCTAGTTTTGTTTTATTTTTATTCAAAATAGAATCAACTTTAAATTTAGAGAACTATTGCAAGTACAGCATAATTAACTTTTCTCGTAAACCATTTGAGAGTAAGTTGCTGGCATGGTATTCCTTTACCTATGAATACTTTTATGTGTATTTCCTATAATGACATTTCCTACATAATCATAATCAATATATTACCACTACCTAATCTTCAGATCTCATTTAAATTTCACCAGTTGTCTCAGTATGTCCTTGACAGAAAAAGAATCCAGCCCAGAATCAAATGTTGCATTTAATTTTCATCTCTCTTTAGTCTTCTTCAATATGGAAGGGTTCCTTGGTCTTTACTTGACTTTCATGACCTTGACATAAATGAAGATTACAGATTATTTTAAAAACTCTCACCATTTGTGTGTATTTTTTAAAAAATATATCTTTATTGACTTCAGGGAGAGGAAGGGAGAGGGAGAGAGAGAGAGAGAAACATCAGTGATGAGAGAGTCATTGACCGACTGACTCCTACAGGCCCCACACGGGATCGAGCCCACAACCCACGCATGTGCCCTGACCCGGAATCAAACCGCGATCTCCTGGATCTTAGGTGGATGCCCAACCGCTGAGCCACGCCTCGCCAGACCCACCATTTGTGTTTGTCTAATGTGCCGTTGAGACTCAATTTAGGTTCTGTGCTTTGTCAGCAATACCACAGAAATAATGCCAGTTTCCCCTCATTGCATCCTATCAGATAGCACAATTTTGATTAATCTCATTGTATTACCACAAATTTAGCGCGTTATAACCACACAGATTTATCCTACACTTCTGGAGATCAAAAGCCTGAAATGGGTTCACTAGGTTAAAATGAAGGCAGAGCTGCATTCCTTCTGCAGGCTGTAGGGGAGAACCTGTCAGCTTCTCTTTTCAGGCAGCCTCCTTTCATCTTCAGAACCAGTAACCACATTGCTCTGAACTCTGCTTTCATCATATCTCCTTCCCTGACTCCTCCTCCTGCCTCCCTTTTCCACTTGTAAGGATCCTGTAATTACATTAGGTCCACCGGGATAATCCAGACTACTCTCCTCCTCTCAAGATCCTTAACCACATCGGCAAAGTCCCTTTTCCTATCTAAGGTAACATATTCATAGGTTTTGGGAATTAGGATGTGGGCATTTTGTGTGAGGGGCATTATCTATCTACCATACGAATTTTTGGTAATGTTCACTTTAGTCACTTAATGAAGGTGGTTCCTTCCAGTTTCTCTGTTGTAAAGTTTCTTTTTCTCTCACTATAACTAATAATTTTTATAGGGAAAATTCTTTGGGACTATGTAAATACCCAATTTTCATCAATTTCTTTCTCTCTTTCCCTCCCTTCTTTCCTCCCTTCCTTCATTCCCTCCCTCCCTCTCTTCTCCCCTTTTCTTTTTTCCTTCCTTTCTTGGCTTATAGGTATTTATGGATTACAAAATAAATTTTAAAATTGTTATTTATAAAGTAAGTAATCAAGCAAGCAAACAAACCTCTTATTCTAGGCTAAAACCTTATACTTTCTCTGACCTCATCCCTTGAATCAGTCATTTCCCCAAGAAGCTCTGGTTCCCTTTCAGTAGAGAGCAGTATTTAGAAATCAAGAATTGAGTACTAGGTATGGTCATTACTATTGGAATGTTGCTGTTCCCAGGCCTCTCAGTGGACAGAAGTTTATACATGTCTTCACAAAGAATAGTTGGTTGTGCAACTTTATTCACAAAAACTCAAAGCTGGAGTCCTGGTTGGTGTGGCTCCAGTAGTTAGAAAGTCAGGCTGCACATCAAAGGATCATGGGTTTGATTCCTGGTCAAGGTCATGCACCTGGGTTGCAGGTTCCATCCCGGCAGGCGGCAACCAGTCGATGTGTCTCTCTCACGTCAATGTTTCTCTCTCTCTCCCCTCCCCTTCCACTCTCTCTAAAATCCAATGGAAAAATATCCTCTCGTGAGGATTAGCAAAAACTAAAAACCAAACAAACAAAAAGCTCAAAGCTGGAAATAGCACAGGAGAGTGCATGAACATTGTGGTATATTCATATGTTGAAATACTGCTTACCAAAAATTTTAAAAATAGAAGAAAGAACAAATAGTATGTGCTGTCATGTGGGTAAATCTTAAAATCACTGAGGTAAAAGGATCCAGACACAAATAAGAACACTCTGCACGAATCCATTTATATGAATTTTAAGAACAGGTAAAACTAAACTATGGCAATTGATCAGAGCAGTGGTGGCCTGTGAGGACTGAAACTGTGTGGAAGGAGACAAAGTAATTTGCTACCATTACGGAAATATTTTATCTCTTAATTAAGGTTCGTTTGGCAGTACACCCATTGAATTGTACACGGAGGACTTGTACATTTCACTGTATGTTCGTTTCTACTCAATTAAAAAAATAAGATTGGCAGAGAGGTTTTTAAACCTCAATTGCCCTTTCTTCTTCATCTTTTTGTTTAACTCTCACCCAAGGATATATTTTTCATTGCTTTTCAGAGAGAGTGGAAGGGAGAGAGAGAAAAAAAAACATCGATTGGCTGCCTCCAGCACACACCTGGACTGGGGCAGAGCCTGCAACCGAGGTAGGTGCCCTTGGCTGGAATCGAACCCATGACCCTTCAGTCCGAGGGCAAACGCTCTAACCCCTGAGCCAAACTGGCCAGGGAACGCCCTTTCTTCTTTGAGTATGGATGGCATGAGATAAGGGTGGCAGAGTAAAGAGATAGGGTGTAAGTTCTTCATGACACTGCAGGACCCCATATCATTCCAGAAACTGCATACCGCTGGAATTGTGTGTGTGTGTGTGTGTGTGTATGTGTGTGTGAGAGAGAGAGAGAGAGACAGAGAGAGAGAGAGAGAGAGAGGGAGAGAGAGAGAGAGAGATTGGAGATACAGGAGAAAGTTTGAAATGCAAATGGATTTAAGTCATTATAGTTGAGCCTCATTTCCAGCAGCCCAAACCATTCCCCAACTGACAGACTTACCCTGATCTCTTTTTCTTTCATCTTGTCTGGTTAGGAGTACAGTATTTCTAAACTTAAATATTTAGAAAAATTCTCAGTCCTGAAGGAGAATTAAGCAGTTATTTCACATGACAGTAATTGCCTGTTCCTAAAGCATATTCCACAGAATATTAATGTTATAAAATAATTTTATCCTTAAATAAACTAGATTAGCCTTTTATGTATGATGAATTATAAATTATTGAGAATGATAAATTCCCACTAGGGGAATACATTCTATTAATTTCTCAACTATTTCTTGGTGCATCAGGCTGAATCTGGATATAATTTTGGAGACACCACCCGAGGTTAAGTGTGAAACTTGGAATGAAATCTTAACTGTAAAGAACACTTCCTACTGGGATTTCCCATCTTCCCCGCCCACCTCTCCTCCCCTCAGCAAGGTATGTAACTTGCTTCAATTCGCTGTCATAAACCAGTCATGTGTTTCCTTTTTTGGCAGAACTGCAGAGAAGCTCCCTAAGACAGAGTATTTGGATTTTTAGAGTCCTTTTAGTGCAGTGGACTCACCTTCTGTCCTGCCAGTTTTGCCCTTCCCTTTTCAGACACCTATTCTTGACAATCTGGGCCTCTGAGATTCCTCTCACGACCAGGACCTCTGTAAATACTGTGCATGTGCATGTCAGACCCCAGCAGGCATCATTCATTTATACAGTGATATGAAAAGTGCCTCCTGGAACGTCCAGTGGGTCAGCCCTAGTCCCACTCTGACTCTTTTGGTTCCTGCCTACACCCACTTTATGACAGACTCTATGTTCCAGGTTTCACTGTTCATGAATTGTGACTTCTTTCAAGTTTCTGGTTTCTGACTCCTTGATTTTCGTATCCTTACTTTCATCTTATGTATAATTTTGAGCTCCTGATATATTGTTCTGGGAACTGACTTTGACTAAAATAAACTGGTATCCATATCCAAGTAGTAACATTTCTCAGTGATCTCCCTTGCCTTACAAATGCTCTTCTGCTTAACAGTCTTTTGCCCAGATAATACTTTGGAGACAGATGAGGCGGGAAGGCTAAAGAAGGAGGAATGTTTGAAATTCAAGATGACTGTGTGTTGCGAATATTTGGGGGTGAAGGTGAGCTCCCTTCTCAGTATTTTAGATTGCATGTTGAGGATTAACATTTTAAAAGGATTATGGGACAAAATAGAAAAATCTTCTCTGAAGAGAAAGAATGGTTGCTCAGCAGGTAATACTGAACTATAACCTGACTGACTATATTTGGTAGCTGAAGAAAGAACACGTCAGATGGTGTAGAAGCTTGGCTGGTCCTGAAATTTCTGAAAAAGAAAGACCACAAAGATACACTGTGTCTAGGAACAGGAGACATTGGGCCAGAGAGAGCATATAACTGACATCTATCATTCTAAGGTTATAATCCCCAATAAATCTTTTGATTTTAAGTTAACTTCCCACGCAGTGTTCTTATGGGTAAAGAATGTGCGGGCCATAGCAACAAGTGGCAGTAAACAGTTTCTTTTGCAAATGAATATACTTGAATTTGACTTTATCTATCAATCTCTGTGAGCTGGATTAGTGGGATGCTACCTAGTGAACTGGCAAATCGGGTTTGTGAACTTTCATAGCTGACAGCCAACCCTGTGAGGATCTACCCTGGTAATGCCACTCTGCTGGCAGCCAGATGAGTAAGCCAGTCACTCCCTAGTCCTTTTTCTTCCAACCACTGCCATGTACTGAGAGCACATTTTCTTCAGATTTCTAGTCTATGTAACTCAGATTAATCAAATGTGTCAGTATTAATGGCCTACCAGTGTCCCTGTACTTTCACAGTCTCCTTCCTGCTTCCATTTTGGGTTGAATGTATCAGCAGGAAACAGGGATATTACGACCACACATGGGAAATTAGATAAAAGAAAGGATTTCCTCACAGGTGTGTTTTGAAAGTTATGTTTCTTTTTAGTTTTTTATTTTAATGTAATGTGATTAATTTTAAGAAAAAAGTTTAGACATCAGTTTGCCTGAAATGCCTTTTTTTTCCTCCTGGAAAAAGGGAACAGGGTCTGATGACCTCACTCTATTTCATCTAGCCACAGATCCTAAATTCTTGATGTTATTCTGAGCAAGGATCTCTGCCAGTTGCTATGTAGGTTTGAGGCTTAGGTTTCCCTCACAAAGTTGAGAAAGCAGGAAATTGATGTGTTTATTTATTTGATTTAGGTAACCCCCCCATGAGCTTTGCTGAATTCCTGATTCCATATTGATAGGAAAAACCTAGGTAATTTCCTTTTATTCCAGCTTTTTTTCATGGAAACATCTGAATCAACATGTACAACTATTTGAATCACTGTGATGTAGATTACCACCCAGTCTCTTCAGCGCCATAATCTGTACTGTTTGTAGATGGGCAAAATAATTAGCTTGGCTGTGTTGCCATACTATTCAGTGACATTTTATGATCATAATTAAATTGTTTAGGCTTCAGTTTCCCATAATATAAGTGCAAAATAGAGTATTTGATGGCTTAACATGTTGATGATTACAGCATTATTTGAATTTTTGAAAGGCTCACATTCTCCACCCCCTGGGAGAATACACTGAGGTTTACTGACAAAATTGAGTTAAATGAAACTCTTAAACATTAACATGAGAAATTGAAGTGCATGTGGATGGCTGCAAGAACAGATCTACTTCTAGTTTTGTTTATGTCGAGAAAATTAAACTTTCCATGCTGAGTAACAATCATTCAGTGGTAAAAATTCTCACAAATTATATTTTTTTAATACCAGGATTGAGAAAGTTTACTAGGACAGAAATTGGACTAGGGCCTGCCCACTACACCTTTTTGCCTGCCCCCAGAGGCATGTAATTTTTCCTGGAAAATTGTGTTAGCTCAGGTTCCAAGTTGACTGTATCCTGATTCTGAGAAAATTTAAGGAGAACAGATTATCACTCAAGTATTAATGTTATGTAGTGTTTCTCAAAGCCTAGTAATTTACAAATAAATCTCTTTCAAACAAACAAATTTCCATGGACCCCCTAATGATGAAAAATGTTACTGTATAAATACAACCATAAAACTAGATTTAACATCCTTATGCACATAGATCTTGTACATTTATAATCCCCGGTAAATTTACAAATTAAATAAAAAAATAAAAAAAGTAAGTTCACATTAACAAGAAAATGAGAATGGTGCCGTTCCTTAACTGAAAGTAAATTATTTGCAACATAAATACGGTACTGACCCATATAGTAGGTGTCCTTTTGAATTTAGTATGCCTATCATTTGATCACTCAGTTTTTCTACTTTTCTCAATTAGAATCACCTTGAAGCCTCAGATAACATTTCCGCTCGTCTTGGTGATCTACCTGGTGGTATGACACCCCGCCCCTCCACTCTCATTCCTGAGGAGTCAGAGTTCCTGGTAATGGTACCCTTCCCAGGTTAGGGTTGCTACACTTTCCCATTCATTACAACTGGGAAAGAGAGAAACCAAGAGGCACCCCACTGGATACCCTGAAATATCCTCAAAGATCCCAAGTGTATCTTTGGGAGTGATGGAAAGTAAGGCCATTCCTGCTTCCACAGTTGGTTCCTGAACCCATGTATTCTTCTTACTGAGGACACAGAACCGTGTATCAAAACTATATATTGCCTCCTAGAAAAGTGGTGCCTCTTTTGTATACAATACTGCCTCTAACTTGGTGCTTCAGCTGCGTCTTTAGAAGACCATTCTATTACTCTATCAGATGACAACTTCTGAGTGGTGAAGCTGGTGTTATGACCAGTGTATCCCATGCTCATGGGCCCTCTCTGCTTATGGACCAGGCATAATGGTGCTGGCTGAGTCCTCAAGGGCAGAAAAAATCCATATTCATAATAAGTGTCTATTCCCATGAGAAAGAATTGTTAGCCCTTTCAGGATGCAAGAGGTCCAATATAGACAATTTGCTACCAAGTGGAAAGTTGGTCTCCTCAAAGACTAGTGCTATACTATGGGTACAACTTTGGTCCCTGTGCTGGTTGGTAAGGCATTCAGAGGCAGCAGTGGGAGTAGATACTCATGCATGGCCTCCATATCTGTGGCCTTGACCACTTCATTATTATATCTATTGGCTGGAGTGGCTGCTGACATAGACTGGCTAACATCACCAATCAATTAATTTTATCTAAGTTGCTTAGTCCCTCTTTCATAGTGGGTGCTTTCTGGTGGGTGTTAATATGTGCTACAAATATATTCACTCTTTGTATTCATTCGCATTTATCTATTTATGTATGCTTTCTTGCACAGCTTCTGGTACAAAATATTGGCTTCTCCAGGAAGCAGATATTGAGATGGAGTTAGGAGTTTAAAAGGTTTCTTGAAGAGTAACATCTATGAATGAAAACTGAAAGAAGCAAGATTGGGCAGGGAGAGCCGTTAGACCATGATGCAGAGTTGGCAAAGTCTCTGTCAGCCCAGTAGGTACTTATGGAGCAAAGATTGTCTGTTAGAGACTTCCATTGTGTAGACATGGTTAAGCCTTTGTGCCACCACCTTTCTCCATCTTCATTGCCTTGGGGCCATCCTAAGAAGAGTATGACTTTATCTTAAAACCCAAGATGGACCTTTATGGAACCAACAGTCAAAGGCTGTCAGCTCACCACATCTTTGCAGCTGGATGGCTAATTATTTTTGAAGGAGGTGGAGTGTAAGCTTTGTTTCTCAGTATCTGCCACAAGTAGGCAGTTGGATAACTGGGTCTGGGTCTTAGATGACTTTCTGGGCCAAAGATATAAATTTGTGATCTATCTGCATAGTCAAGGCTTATATAATAGGGTGTAATCTAACCACTGTGTGTATGTGAAATTTTCTAGGAAGGAAGTGAGTGTCTAGGATTAATATTGAGGGGACTCCAACATTTAATGGCCAGGTAGAAGAGGAAAAGCCTGCAATGATGACACAAGGTGGAGTAGTTAGAGTGCAGAGTCAAAAAATCCAAGGGGAAAAGAGTATAATTGGTCCAACTGTTGAAGGTCTTGAGAGATCAAGCAATGTAATCTAAGCACTGAAAGATATCAGCTGATGATAATGATAGAGCAGAAGCTAAATTCTAAGGGGTTGAGAAATGTGTGAGGGGATGAAGAAGTAGAGATAGAAAGTATAGATAAATATTTTGAGAAGTATAGGTTTTAAAGATATGTTTTAGTAATGTATTAAGAAAATAATGTCCAAATATATTTGTAACTAGATAACCAGCCAAAAGTGTGAACAAGAATAGCAATTACTCCTGTTAGAACTATTACTCCTAAGAGAACTGTATTTCTTTCACATTCTATTCTATCTTATCTTAGTTATTTTGAAAATTACCTATCCCAGAACCTTAAATTTTAACTCAAATATTTAACTAATGGATATGAATCAATGGAAAGATAAACACATAAAATAGATGATAAAAACAAAGAAAAGGTATTATACTCGGATCCTTTAGAGTATAACATAAGGGATGATTCATCATTACCATGATTTAGCAATGTCCAGCTGCTGAAATAGCAGTCCTCAATCAAAATAGCATACTTCCAGGAAAAACATTTAACAAGAATTTTTTGATCACCTGTTATGAAAGAGACATTATTCCAATTCTTAAACATATAAAATAAAGACAGTATGACTCTATAAGCCATCATCATTTCCAGTATAAGCTTGGATTTATTTATGATAATCCACTCTTTCTTGCCACATCTCATTCTGAGCCCACAGTACTTATTGGGGTCACAGCTACCCTGTGCAGCTTTACTTGTTTTTGAACAATTCTTGCCTGACACAACTGGGACTGGTAGTTGGTTAGCTAATCAGCAATGTGGCAAAAACTGAGAATCTTTTCTTAAAATTTTTTTTCTTCAGAGACTCTTTAAAAATGAATATTTTAAATATGTAATTCAAATTTAAAACATAACAATGTATGTTTATTCATCAAACTTTTGGAATAGAGTCATGGACTTTATTTATTATTTATTTATTTTGCATATGGGTCTCACAGTTGGAATTTTGTAATCTCTTTCAGGTGTACACACAATAGTCATCACTTATGTCGTTCAGTTTTGTTTTCTTAAAATAAGATGGAAAGTTTAAAAC